GTTGATGACATGTATAGCCAATAAAAGTTATAATAATTCTGTCAAAACGCTTGATTCTGTCCATCCATTGGTCGTTTAGGTCAAGTGCAGACTTTAACAAACACACGCACACACACACACACACACACACACACACACACACACACACACACACACACACACACACACAAACCCACACGTAGCTCTACTCACCACGAAACAAACCCAATACACCACACAAATCTTCCAACTCACCACTTTAAGAATCTCATCTTTCAGAGTTTGCATCCACTCGACAGAGATGCTGTCACTGAATCCGTGAGTGATGACCTTTAGGGGACGAGTGGGGTCAAGGGTCGTGGCCTTACTCACAGACTCGGGGTCATCAGAAGTGATACTGACGGGCGTGAGCTGGTTCTGACGTGAGTAGACATGATGCTTCACGCCCATCTCCTTCGGCGACTCGGGTAGAGCTCCATCGGCGTTGTCGAAGGGCGGGTCATTGGAGAAACATCCCAGGTTGTTGTAGCAAACTTCCTTACCCTGGACTAGCGCGGTCCACTGGGATGTTGTGAGCAGCACTGGGGGAAAAGTTACACAACGAAAAGTTATATGAAAAGTCACAAAGATCACTCTGCTGTCATTATTTAAAAGCACAACATAATATGCAGTCTTTACAATCTTACAGGAGAGCCAACCCCCCCCCCCCACACACACACACAAACAAGAACCCCCCGCCCCCCCCAAAAAAAACCTGAAAAAAAGAAAGTTGTTAGCAAGAAAAAAAACCCGAACTTTCTGCAAACATCCCAAATCAATATTTTTAAGAATACAATTTTGATAAGAACTTCCTTATCATCTTTGATGCAAATGCTGTTTTTGGTTGTTTGGTTTTTTGGGGTTTTTTTTTTTTTGGTAACACATTCAGAAAAGTCTCTGTTCCTGCTCCTCATGATCTGAGTGCAGTTTTTTTAATACAATCAATTATTCTATCCTTATCGAGCGGTTGACAACAACTTTTGGAATTTCTAAAGCAGTGCTGGTTGAATTTTAAAAAGAAATTCAGGACACACCTGGTTAGTGGTTGTGCACCGCCCACAATTTCTCTGTACTGATCTATCTAGGTCTATCTATCTATAACTATCTTCCGCAGTATTTGAGGGATACAAAGTCGGAGGCAAAAATTGGTTGCTTTTTAAGGGCAAGGAGGCTATCCTGAAAAATGCTGTTTTGGGAAAATCGAAGGGAAACTTTTTGCCCCATGTTCAGTTTCTTTGAAAGACAAGGAGAGTTTTCTCTATAACCATACAAATATACACAGCAATGAAACCAAACGTCTCCGATAGGTAGGTCAATGCCCACTTTTGGTGTAGGTCAAGATTTCTGGAAACCCCCGAAATCTGGGTTAGCCCGCTTGTCCTTAAAAGCGACCAATTTAGAACATTAAATTTTAATAATCATGTCTTCTTGATAGTTCGTCCTTATTCCTAGTACTCATATGTTTTTAACGTGTATGTGCATATCGTCATCGACTGTGCTGTGGTAATGTGAAAGTCTGGTTAGAATTATGTTACCGTTAAACAAAACGTTTGTGCGCACGTTTATACACATGCGTTTTGTGTAAAGGTATTAAGGTATTGTTAAAGGTCTTGAGCTGCGTTGTACGGCAGTGGGTGCTACAGAAATCCTGTGCCTCGTCCGCATTGTTAAAAGCGAGCAGAAATGTGATGCATTAGCTACAATTAGTTGTGAAGCATAATAAAATAAAAAGCACCTTTACTTTGACTGTACAGTTCAATGAAATGATGGCATTGTTCTGGAGACCAAGTGTTAAGTACACTACAGACTCTCCCCCCCCCCCCCCCCACACACACACACACACCAGGGCAATGCTACTGACTGAAGTGTCTTTAGGCCATTCCCAAAGAGGGGATATTAACATGTTCTTATGCAAAATAGATTTGTAAATTGGCTGATTTATCAATGTCCTGCTCATATTGTGCTGGACCAACATAGGGGGAACTGCTGTTTTTTCTTTCCTCATCCTAACTATCATCTTTTTTCCTATACTTTTTTTTGGGTATGTTAGTCACTTTCTTGTGAACTGTTATTTCCGGGGTGCCTCGATAGTCGAAGCGGACTTTGTGCTGTTGTGGCTAGAGAGGTGAGCAGAGTAAGCCTGATTCCGTGTTTGGACTTCTCTGTTGACATCCACCCCTTGGCGCTCATATGACCTTATGCAGTTGCGAACGCTGTAAAAACCTTACTAATACAAATACTACAGACACATCTTCAGATCCCTTTTCCCGCCAAAATGGCAGGACATCTGGCCTATATATAGGTAGTCTTTGTTTTGTTTTATGTTTGGTTAGTGTTTTGCGGCGCTCGCAACTGCACAAGGTCATATGGGCGCGCGGGACACGTTCAACATTTTCAGTTGGTGGAAAATTTTGAATTTTGCCCGGGTTGAGGCCGAAACCTACTCGTATCGATTTTAGACCACCAAGGGATCTTTAACGAGCACAACTTGCACACGGGACCTCCTTGATTTTTCGTCCTTGTCCGAGAAGGCTAGGTGTAGCTCTTTCCTATCAGAAGAATAGGGGTGGGGCTGAAGGAAAGCAATAATCTGAAGGAGCCAAGGAGAAGCAATTGAAAGACTGCAGAAAGAGTCAGGAGGTCGCAAAATAGGTGAGAGGTTGGGGGAGGGGGGGCAGAAAGAGGAGACGAAAGCAGACGACAGAATATAGCTAGAGAACAGGAAAAGAGGTGAAAGGAGACAATTTTAGAGACAATTTTAAGAAGAAAATTGTTCCGTTGCTACCCGGATTCGAACCCGGGACCTTTGAATGAGAGGCGAACATCTTAACCTATAGGCCACGATAGCCACGTGGGCCGTAGTTTAGTGCTGCAAGTATTGCTCCAATATGACCCACAGATAGAAGCCGTTTCCAATAAGGCAAAACCACCCAAATTTACTGGGTTTGGCTCACTCGAAAAAAATAATTTAACGATACAACAAAAGAAAAAAGAGCAAAAAATACATATATATAAAAAGCCCCCCTCCCTGCCCACCCCAAAAACCCTAACAAACAAAATAAAACAACAACAACAACAACAACAACAACAACAACCACAGCATCAGCATCAGCAGCAACAGCAACAACAACGACGATAAAAATAACAACAATAATAACAACAAGCAAATTTTAATGCAGACTAAAGTATCCGCAAATCTCAATTCAGTTTGTATAATATGAAACCATTTACATCAAAACGAAAAGATGAGAAATCGCACAAAATCATGTTATATTCACCCACATTATTTGACTGTAACCACTATATATACTGTCACATCTACTCAGAACGAGGCTATCAGGGACATTACAAGACACTGAGTCAGCATTGGGAACAAATTTGTCTCTCTGTAACGGGAATGGTCTTCTTTTCTCTTCTCTTTTTTTTTTTTTTGAAACTTAAAGCCCTGTGTGCTTTTCGCTGGGAGAAAAGTAAAAGCGACCGACCACGAGAGCAAACACTGTCTCTTTATCCTTGATCCTTGGGTTCTCTGAAAAAAGATGCGAAAACTAAAAGAAACAAAAAAACCCCAAAACCCCCACAAAAAAACCCAACAAAAACAACAACGCATGACCTTTTTTTATAACACAACCGTGTTCTATTGTAATTTTCGGGAACCTGTATTGGGATGAGTTTTACTTATTCTCTGATTTATGTAATGTGATCA